TCTACCTTCTTTATTCCCAGCCGCATCCACCTCTACTACTTTATGCTTCTTATCTGATTTCTCACAGATCCCTTTCTTCGTACTTTCAGGTGCTGAAATTCGTGAATGCCTACGATACTCAACAACACTTCTGTCCTTGTCCGATTCAGGAACAGATTCACAGTGCATTGGAGACTGACGCGGCAGCACAGACTCCCTCATCGGAGACTGACGTGGAGGCACGGAATCACGCATGGAAAACTGGCGAAACGCCGTAATGGATTCAGACGTCGGAGACTGGCGAGCCGCAGCAACAAATTCAGACTTCGGAGACCGTCGGGATGCCGCCGCAACAGAATCATGCATCGGAGACCGGCGAGATGCCACAACAGAATCACTCATCGGAGACCGGTGAGACGCCACAACAGAATCACGCATCGGAGACCGGTGATTCGCCACAACCAAATCACGCATCGGAGAGGATGATTCGCGCATGGGAGACTGACGAAACCCCAGAATAGGCTCTCGCATGGGAGACTGACGTGCAACAGAATCACGCATAGGAGACTGACGCGCCGCCATGGATTCACGCATTGGAGAGTGAGATTGTGATTGACGCTGTGGCGAATGATGGCGCGACGGGGAAGATGAATCTGAAGAAAGCTTATTTGATCGGCGGCGCTGGTGATTGTTTGAGTGCTGATTCTTCTTCCATTTCAAGTATGGTAAATCAAAGTTGTGAAGTGGGTTACTAGACTTTGCTGGAACAGTAGAAGTCATAGTACAAACAAGAATATCCAAATCTTTTCTTCAAATCAAACAGAAGAGAACAATAAATAAGCAAGTATATCAAGGCGATTGAGTCCAAAAAAATCTCATTGTGACTGAAATCTAAACATATTTAGCAAGATTGAGTTGTTTTGAATAGATAAAACTTTGAAAGAAACCCTAGACAGAAAGAGAGAGAGAGGCAATGGATGGCTTGAACAAGTGAAAGAGCAAAGTGTATAGAGGAAGATAGTTTATTTGATTACTATCCTGAATCCGGAGATGCACATGGGAACACTTTTTTTCTATTGCCCATTATAACCCTACTCCTCCCGCTCCCCCTCCCCCTCCCCC